GTTACACTGAGTGACTGTCTCACAGTACTGACCACTGGCCATTACACTGAGTGACTCTCTCACAGTCACAGTGACTTACTCTCTCTCACTGTACTGACCACTGGCCATTACACTGAGTGAGCGTCTCACAGAACTGACCACTGCCCGTTACACTGTCCCGCAGTGCTGATAACTGTCAAGTCGTAAGAAGTTTCCACCTGCCTCCTAGATTTCTGCTGCCCGAATACAGCAGGGAATTATAGTGCTTGACAGGGGTCAGATCTGGAATCAACAATATCACCACATCACATTGTCTCTTCTTCTACGGAAGCAATGTGCAAGAGTCATCAGGATGTTTGGATGTCGAGTTAAGAGCATTCAAATTGCCCGACGTGTCAGGTGAGCCTTGTCTCCAGTACTGTGGAGTCTGGCTCCAAGCCGCTGGTGACAGTTGCAGAAGCAGCTCCATGGATGTTCTGGATCACTGGGCTGAGACTAACAGATGGTCCACAGAGGCCTCAGTCCCGGCGGTTCTGCGCCTGTGTTTCACCGTGAATTCTCGGGGAAACCTGAAAGGCCAGGTGGAGAAACTGAAAAGCGGGACGGGTCAGACAGACATGGGATTCTGAGCGACATTTCCCAGGCGAGTATCCCACCGCTGAAACCACGGGACTTTCCAGCCTCATTCCAGCAACGTCATCTGATCTTCCCAAGGGGGTTGGGGGGGGGCACTGATAACTGATATGGCACCCCCTCCCCCAAACCCAATCCGCTACCTACAGGAACATGCTTTTCAATCACACCCAGCTGCCGAGAATCCAAGCCTGCTCCTAGCACAATGTGGCGAATTCCCTATACATCAAAATAACTGAATTGGGCATTTCAGGTGGTACGGTGGTAGGGCAGTGTGCAGTCCTGGGGCCCTGGGTTCGATTCCCGACCTAGGGTGCTGTGTGCGTGGAGTTTGCATGTTCTCCCCGTATATGTGTGTGTGTGTGTGGGGGTGTCCTCCGGGCGCTCCAGTTACCTCACATTTTCCAAAGACATGCTGGTGGGTTAATTGGCTTCTGGGAAAACTGGCCCTGCTCTGAGTGACTGGCGTGCCACCCAGAGCGTACCTCGCCTTCTGCTCATTGCGTGGCAGGATAGGCCCCTGCGGCCCTTTCAGTCTACTGCTTAACTCACAGCTCAGGTGGCAGAGGGACATGTCCGCTCTCCATCTGGAGACTGGGAGCACCGGGCACTTCAATGAGTGACTTGACAGGAAAGGATCACTAATGCTGATCTCACCAGGGACGACAACGTCCAAGAACAGGGCGCTTTGAGCATGTGGGGGGGGATCTGGGGGGGCAGGTTTGGCTCGGCCTGCTTGGTCAGCGGTCAGCCTCCTGGCCACAGGGCGAGGAGCTCAGACCCCATTCGGGAGTGACCAGGGGGCAGAAGCAGGGAGGAGATGGGCTGGGGGGGGGACGCCTGTGAAGGGAGGGGTTTGTGTTCGATTTGTAGTCCTAATTTCTGTAATGACGGTGATCAGGTACCGCCGTGTGAGATTGACTTGTCCTGGTTATCCCTCCCGAACTTCAGAGAATAACTTCCATTAAATATGCTTTCTAGAATAGCGAGTAGGCCTGTTTGAGGAAGAGCAATCTGGTCCTGTGCTGGGCACCTCCTGGGGGTCATGACCCTGGAGGAGAGCAGGGTGCCGGGCTGGGGCAGAGGGGGAGAGAGGGGGACTGAGGGCACAGAGGCGGACAAGTGGAGGCAGAAGAGGTGGAGAGAGCAAGAGAAGTGGAGGAGAGAGGGAAGAGGGTTGGAGCGAGGGAGGGAGGGGCAGCCAGAGAGGTTACAGAGGATTCAGTTACAGAGAAAAAGAAAGTGAAAATGACTCTCAGCCTGGCTGACAAGAGGAAGTCAGGGCTCATAAATACGGCAGGGGCTTCGCTGGGTTCCAGCACAGCGGGCGGACGGCGGAGGGGCTGGCGGATCAGGCGCACCGCGTGCCCAGAGACGGTGAGTTGCCTTCGATCCGAGAGCCGTGGGCCCCTGGGCGTTTCTCTGAGCAGTCTGGCACGGCCAGGTCTGGATCAGCGCGCGCTGCTGGGGTACCGCGACCCCTCGCTCTTTTGTCTGAGTGTGGGGGGTCAGGGTACACACCGCAACACAGAAACCTGACGTACTTCACGGGGAAGAATATAGAATCCGTTACAGCCTGATGTCGTGACTGGAAGGAAAAATCGTTTCTCATCTCAAACGAGCAATCTGCCTTCTTCGTTGGCTGAATTTTTAAAACGGTGCCCCGTCAGCCTTGAATCGCTTTAAATTTAGAAAGCGTTTTCTCTGCTGCAGCATGGCGTGAAATTACATTTCTCTTGTTATCTTGTTTTTAATCTTTCCTTCACGTGTCCACCTCTGAATGAGACAGAGACTGGGAGAGAGACAGAGAGACAAAGAGAGACAAGTGAGACAAAGACTGAGAGAGCTTATTGCTAGAACTTTAGAAACATTGTGTTTTGTTGTCCACATCAGTAAAGCTTTTTGGATCTGGATTGGAGAAACAGAGTTTGGCAACATTCATTCATCACACAGGCCAGTACAGCTCTTTGAATTTCAATACAGCTGTAGCCCAGTATGTGATCACCTGTCACACCCTAAGGAGCGCAGAGCACGCCTCTCTAACACTAATAATAACACCACAGAAAATAGTATTGTTGTAAATACGTGCAGTTGCTTTCTTATTGTTTTGGCAACAGTGTGATTCCTCAGACACGCCAGCGATTCTCTCTGAAGGCAGAGAGGGAGAGAAAGAGATAGAGGATGTTCCATGTGGAAAGCTTTGGCAGCGTGTTGGACATATTACATTAAAACAGATTTGACTGGAACTGGGAGGGAGAGGGAAAAGGATAGGAAACTGTAACGGTAGAAGTTTTTATTTGCCCTGCTGCAGCACGAAGAGATTGTGTCTGTCCGTCTTGGTTAAAGGTTAAAGGTTACATTAGACCTGAGCAGAGCACAAGAACACAGCCTGAAAAGCCGATACCACGCCAGTCCTAGACTTCGCTGTCTGACGGGGCTGTCCAGCACAAGAGCTCCAGGACGGGACACAGACTCCTGTCCCACCCGGGCTTGATGCTGTGTGGAAGTGTCTTTGGGCTCAGGGATGGGAGGAGCTCTTGGGGAACTATGGCCCCCTCTTGTCACCTGCTTGCAGTAACTTCTGCTCTTCCCATTAGCGGCCTCTCCTGCTTTCTCCCTGGCTGGTGCTGAGGTCACGTGACGGCGCCCCCGCAGGCCGCGGGCAGGCCGAAGACAACCGCTCAGACACGTCCCGATGATGTCAGCGTGCGGGTCGGTAACGGAACCCATAATGCAGCTGTTACCGAGACGACCCAGCTGATTGCGGGTTCCGTACCCACTCCCACGCCATGGCAACGGGCAACCCCAGGAAGACCAGGAACCAGGAAGGGGGGAGTGGGAGGCAGAGAGGGAGGGTGAGGGGCAGGAGAGGAGGGGGAGAGAGGGGCAGGAGAGGGGGGGAGTGTGTGCCTGTGTGCCGGCGTGGGCAGCTTACAGTGTGTGTACAGTACTGTATGTGTGCGGGCGCACTCCACCACAAACAGGAAGCAGGCCGTGTGGGTGTGCTAGTCAGTTACTGAAAGTGAAAGAGTCCGAAACCGGGGCTTTCCAGAACAGAGGAGAGCTGGGGGAGGGGCAGAGAGAGGGAGAGAGAGACAGGAGAGGGGCAGAGAGAGGGGGAGAGAGACAGGAGAGGGGCAGAGAGAGAGAGATGGGAGAGGAGCAGAGAGAGGGGCAGAGAGAGGGAGAGAGAGACAGGAGAGGGGCAGAGAGAGGGAGAGAGAGACAGGAGAGGGGCAGAGAGAGGGGGAGAGACAGGAGAGGGGCAGAGAGAGAAAGAGAGACGGGAGAGGGGCAGAGAGAGAGAGATGGGAGAGGGGCAGAAATAGACAGGAGAGGGGCAGAAATAGACAGGAGAGGGGCAGAAAGAGGGAGACAGACAGGAGAGGGGGCAGAAATAGACAGGAGAGGGGCAGAGAGAGAGATAGAGAGAGAGATGGGAGGGGGCAGAAATAGTGAGACAGACAGGAGAGGGGGCAGAGAGGGGCAGAAATAGACAGGAGATGGGAAGAAATAGACAGGAGAGGGGGCAGAAATAGTGAGACAGACAGGAGAGGGGGCAGAGAGAGAGAGAGAGACAGGAGAGGGCAGTAAGATAGAGAGATAGGAGTGGGGGGTATAAAGAGACAGAGGGGACAGAAGGACAGAAAGAGACGGAGCAGTGTGGAGGGAAAGAGGTAACTGGGGTAACAGAGAGAGGGAGGCAGAGGCCCTGCAGAGACAGGTGTCAGCTGGAGCAGGGGAGGGGCTGCAGGCAGATGTCCTGAAGGAACAGCCGCTCCTCTATGATGTGCGGGTGCTCTCATTGGCTGGGAGTGATGTCACGGAGGGAGGCGGCACTCTGGAATGACACGTTTTCTCCCGGTTCGCCAGACCCACAGGAGCCATCGGGAAACTCGTGTCAGCCAAGACTGACGGCCCAGGACACCCGTCGAGGCAGAGAGAGGGCCGTAGTGTCGCTGTCCAGTCACAGCCGGCCGGGCCCCCTCATACAAGGTGCTCTGAGAGTAAGGTTAGGCGAGAAGGGTAAGGTTAGGCGAGAGGGTTTGGGGAATTCTGGTCCACATTTGCTCCGATCGCTCATGTGCATGACAAACCCTTTATCCCCCGTCCTCAGTGCTTGGCTGTGACCAGGTGGACAGCATATTGGATTCACTGGCTGGAGAAGACACCACTAACACGATCCCTTCATTCCCAAGAAAGAGAAGAATCAGAATGACTACTGTCACATGAAAACACACAAACACTCACACAAAGACAGACAGGGCTGGATGTGCAGCTAACTGAAGAACATAGGAGTGCCACTCAGATCATTCTGTTTTGGATGTAAACATTTGACATCATGGGGCGGTGAGGTGTCTCTATGGCTTAGGATCTGCGCCTGTGGCTGGAAGGTTGCCAGTTCGTATCCCGCGGCTGGCAGAGGAATCCTACTCCGTTGGGCCCCTGAGCAAGGCCCTTAACCCCAACTGCTCCAGGGGCGCCGTATAAACGGCTGACCCTGCGCTCTGACCCCCAGCTTCTCTCCCTGTTTGTGTGTCATGGAGAGCAAGCTGGGGTCAAGACAGATTCCTAATACAAGAAATGGAATATGGCCGATAAAGTGATCTGATCTTGTGTCTTGCTACCTGTCATTGTTTTTGCAACACTGTAATTCATTCATGAAAAAGTGAAAGAAGAAGTGTTAGAGAATGTTAGAGAGTGTCACAGGGAAGTGTAATTGCCGTAACCCAGAGACAAAGTGAGAGACACAAAAACAGGACCTACACCAAGGTCTCAGCAATGTTTGTCGAAATTGCCTTACTTAGTTAATCTCTCGTCGAGCTCTTGAACACATTGTATGAACTTTATGACAAACACAATAAATGATATTTAATACAAAAGTAAACACTTGTTTGGTTTTACTTTATATATATACGCGTTATTATTTTAAAAGATTGATTAGAAAAAGTCGACTTTTGACAGCTTTAGCCACACACAAGATGGCGACGATGTGACTCCAGGACCAAAACGTCACGTGTCGAGATTGTTGCTCTCGGGTGAAATTCCCCCCGAAAACAACGGGTAACGACTGCAAGGTTCCACCCGGGAGTGAATTTTCACGAGCTGGAAACGTGTACTGAAGACTGTAGGGTTATTAACTGATGTAAGAAAAATATATTTAAAAAAAAAAGAAATGATTTATTTTTAACTTGAGAAAACGGTCGCGCTTTCGTATGCATAATGGAGGGTGCGGAGGGGTCGCCCCTTCGGATCAGCTGCACGGTCCGAGCTCTGAGCTCCGCGCTGCGGGGCGACCTGGAGGCTGACGCCGGCTCGCAGCGCTCCCCGCTCGGCCGGAGCAGCTCGGCCGGCCCGGGGGGGCTCTGGTTCAAGGAGAGCAGCGCGAAAAACCTCCGCAGCAGAGATTTCTTAGCGCCGGCCGCCGTGCTGAAAAAACTGTACCCCGACGGGCAGGTAAGTGGCTGTCGCGCCGGGCTGGACTCGGATGTGAGAGTTTTCCTTCGCCGGTGTTTCGCTGCCGGGCACCGGCCCGTCATCTGACGGCGGACAGGGTCCCCGGGCCCGCGACTGGACCGGACTGGACCCGCTCGCTGCACCGCGGCGTGAAGCCGACAGCGCCGAGCTCCGTGCTGCTGGGAGCGGAGGGGTGGTAGTGGAAGAATATACAGATGGAGGGGTAGAGGAGTGGATAGAGGGATCTAGTGATGGCAGGGTCTCTAGAGGATCGAGGGGTCTCTAGAAGATAGAGGGATCGAGGGGTCTAGAGGATCGAGGAGGGATGGTGGGGTCTCTAGAGGATCG